TTGAACCTACAAGAAAATGGACGTTGGTGGGATCATTTATCCTTCTGCATTTCACAGAAGATGCGCGGTGCCCTTTCAGACTGATACAGTTGGATAGCAGCACAAGTCTTCTGTCACTACTTGTCTGCCTGAGTTTGGGCTTTAAAATGCTGTTGTGTAAGTCCAAAAATCTCAGCATTGACTTTTCAAACAAAAGAAAAGGCAGGATTCCCTCTGCGGGGGCTGGGCTGCAGGTCTGTAGCGTTCTTTCTTTGCATGGCAGCTAGTACCTGCTGCCTCAGAATAATGCGAGGGACCTTCTGTTATTCTACAGCATAGTAAGGTAGATGTGGATGGAGACTTCCTTCCCGCTTGTTATTGAAAGTTCACAAAGGTTTCTATTCCAGGAGGAAAAAAAATTTTGCTTCAGAGTGTGTGTTCTTTGTTTTGTGTGTCTTGTTTGGTGTGTTGGTTTTTTTTGTTGTTGGTATCAGTTGGAACTTCTCAGGGGCTTTCCCCATTTTAGGGACGCTTCTTGAAAACATGTGCCACGATTTTTGCTTTTGATCAAGCCACCTCCTATTTCAGTCATGGCAAGGCAATGGATCACCAAGTTCCCCATTTCTCAGCTGTCAGGCTTTCAACCCTTGTCTGCTTTTTGCTTCAGTTCAGGCTTTTGTGCTTAACTGGGCAGTGATGTATGGAGCGGGTATGTAGCCTGTGATTATGTAGACTCTAGTAGCTATTTTCAATTAGATTTTCATGCTGTTGGGGTGTCTGCTGGTTCACCGATTACTCAATCCAAGTTTCCAGTATTCATTTTTATGCTCACTTGTGAATGCACAAAGCCATTTTTATTGATGACTGACAGCAGTTAGAGTATCCCATGTCGCTGTAAGATTGGCAGAGTGTTTAGGCCGTGGACGGAGCAAATTGCAGTTCTGTCTTTGTTTGTTACGGTTACGTTGTGACAGCCAGAGCTTTGTACCTGGAGCAGAAAGGTTCCCACAGTGCAGTAGCAGTCTTCTGCTCCTCTTCTGTTGTGTTCAAGAGTATCTTTGTGCAAGTCTGCTCCCTGCCCTGTTCTTTTTCCGTGTGTTTTAGTCTTGCAGGAAGGTTGCTTTGTAAGGAAATGAGTGCCATTCCCGTGGGCAGCCTGATGTCTAGTCAACTTTCAAAAAAAATCCCCGCGTGGTTCTTGCCTATGGTGCCGCTGACAGCTGAGCCTGAACTAAGGGAAAAGTTGTCAGCTTTTCTAGCTGTCCTCTTGCCACTGGAGTATTGCTTCCAGAGCTCTGCTCGGTGTGAACTTTAACTCTTCGTTCATGTAATTCATGAACTTTAATACTTCATTTAATGACTCCCCTGGGAAAGTTTTACTAATACTTCTTGCTGCCAGGCAGTCTTTTCCTGATAGCCTTGGCAACGTTTTCCCTTAGTGCTGGTTCTGTTAGTCCTGGCTCCAGCCCCTGATGTATTACTGTTTTCTTAATGTTTGTGCCTTTCATTTGTTAAAAGATCCTGGAGCATTTTGGTGGATGAGGCTGTAAATCATGACAAGGCCAGGGGTTCCCTCTTGTTTGACCACTGGGAGGTTAAGTAGGAAAGAAGTTCAGTCAAAATTGGGATATTCTGGGTGTCATTTTCCTTCCAGGAGTAAAAACTTGTCGGGGAGCATGTCTTTTTCAGCTGTGGCACATCAATAAATAGAGCCATGAGGCTAAAGATGCTAAACTAAGGTAGTTTAGGGAATACTTTTTTGCATGGAAGTTATGCTGAACTTGCTCTCTTTTTTTTTTTTTTTTTTTTTAGGCTGAACTTGCTCTCTTCTTTTTTTTTTTCTTTTTTTTTTTCCCCCCTTGCCCCTGCAGTCTTAGCTTGAAAAGCATTTGATGTAATAAACCAGAAAACACAGGGAGAGATTGGGTAGGTTGATGTCCGGGAGAGAGCGCTTCAGAGAGGAGAAGTGGCAGTAGCACGTCCTGTTGGACAGTCTGACCGTATCTGAATGTGGCTGTGGATGAGTTTTGTAGGCATATTTGTAGGAAATCATTTGAAACGCCTGTACTGTGACTTGTCAAAGGGGCAGCAATACCTCGGCCTTGGCAGGGAATGCTGAGGGTCTTGCACATGTCTGTTGGACACCCTCTGCTCTTAACCCATCAAAAATGGGCTTCCCCTGCCTGCCCATAAAGTATGTGCTGCTTGTGTCTGTTGTGCTGCCTGTATGGCAATAGAAGGGAAGAGATTATTTTTTTTGCCTTCACCTGTAGAGGTGGTGATCCTAAGTCCTTACACATAAAGTTCAATTGCTTTTATTCAGGTCTGCTTCAATGGCAGTAGCAAAAAAACCCCCAACCCTTCAGCAGGCTGCAGCAAGAGCTGGCTGAGCCTTGCGGTATCAAGAAATTGGAGGGTATTCCTAGGTTTTCTCATCTGTGAGTTCTCTTGTTTGTGAACACAGACCAGAGGATGACTATTCAGTTTTTTGGCAGTGAAGTATTTCAAGGGCATGAAAAGCTGGCTCTTGTCACTACGTGCTTGATTTGTTGTGGAAAGACAGTAATTTGCCTTAGATTTACTACAGGGCTTTCTGCTAAATCACCAGAACTTGAGAAGTTTGCTCTCTGCAAAGTTAACTTCACTCAAACTCTAAATAATAGATATGAAAGGTTTATTAAGCAAATAAGTAAAACTCCCAGGGCTGTGAATTCCATTTCCCCCAAGAAATATCTGGAGCCGATCACTTGCCAAACCAAACAAGTCAGGTATTGCAGTTCAGAGAAAAACAAATGATTATTTTGTTTACAGGCTTTCACATCAGGATGAAGGGGAAAAAAAATATTATCACTTCTGTGAGGGGAAAAATGATTATTGAAATAAATGTGTTTCTGCCCTGCCAGTAAGGCAACTTTATTTGTTCTTCTTATATTTAGGTGCTTTTCTCAGATATTGCAGTAACAGGCAGGCAAACCCTTTAAATTCAGAAGGACTTTTTCTGTATCTGAAGGCCGTCTTGGATGGGATGTCTCATTTGTACTTAAGTCAGTCACTGTATTTTTAATATTATGATGTGCTCCATAATGCATATTTAGTTCTTCTGGGAAATTAACCTGGCATGAGCTTGTAGAGCAGATAGGCCAGGATGCGTCCACTTGTAAATCCTGTGTAGCATTTTGCTTTAAGTAGCTAACAAATTTGTACTAAGATAGTGCCTTTCCTCTTTAAGTGGACGGCCGGGACTAGTTCTGGGTTAAATTGTGGGAGGAGAAGCTCTTTATTTAAGGCTTAATAGTTAAAAGGAGAGAAAATCTTCATCTTTTATCTCCTTCCTTCTTTATGCATGAGGCTTTTCCAGTAATATTAATATTTTACTGTTGCAGCATCTTGCTGATAAATGAAGATGAAGTCTTAAGAAATGAGCTTTTAAACCTAACAAATGACAAGTACTTAATAGAGCTAGCCTTTCAGGGAAGTTTTGAAGTGTTATAGAAACCAATGAAATCCTGCCTAAAAACTCAGCAAACTGAGTGAAAGGAAATAGAAGACGGAAACCGCTTTCTCCTTCAGTAAGGACCACGTTGTATTACTGGTCATTAGAAAATACCTGCCTGCACAACCTCCCTGAAACCGTGAGCAGTTTTATTCAAAACGAGTAGGAAAGGTGGTAACCTCTGTCCCCTAAGTGTTTTACGTTCCTATTCCCTTCTCAAGTGCTCATTAGGAACTCTGTTTTGTCCTTGAACCTCTGAGTCTGTGTGGGTTTTCTTGGGTTTCTTTGGTGGTGTTTTTTTTTGCTTCTGAAGCACCTTTATTTTCTGAAATTTTGCTCACGTACAAAAGAAATCTGTCTGTCTATGGCTAGATTACTTTCCCTGTTTGTGAAGAACAGTTTGGCAAGTCAAGGGCACTGGTTTCCTTAGTGATGCTAACAGTTGGTGGGTAGACTCAAACTGGAAGTGTTTGTATGAACTTCTTGATGTCTTTGGCACAAAAGAGGGTTGGATGTGAAATAGCCTCAGTTTTGTGAAAACAAAATGTCCTCTGCTGGTTTTTGTTTGTTGCTTATCCGTAACTCCTTTAATATTTCAAAAAAGCCATAAAGGACTGACAGATTACAAGTTGCATGAAATATCAAAGTAATTATTTACACTTTCATGCTTCTTTGTGCAGACATGAAACAATAAATACCCATAAAGTCTCAGAAGTGACACTTACACAGCGGGGGATTCACAATTTCTTATGTGCTGGGGTTTGCTTCTCCTGCTTGTAACTTTACGGTAATATGTGATATTCCTGCATTTGGTTTTAAGTAAGCTCCAAGGGCTTAACTGTGTCTATAAAGCAGCATCTGCTGGAAGCCAGGCTTAGGTGGGTGCTGCAGCTCATTTGTCTGAGTTGACTGCGTGGTAGGGGGAACAGCCTTTTCTTGCAGGGCCTTTGGTGACCACTGAATTTTGGTGGTGCACGTGGCTGCCTTAGGCAACCTGTGGAGAGCACAGCTTCTACTCTGTAAACTCCTGGGCTGCCTAACTCATTGTAGTGACGTGGCTTTCTTCCCTGACCTGCCCCAAATAATTGGGACAATAGCTGCTTGTCACTCCAGGCAACTGCGTGTCAGGCACAAAATGGTTTGTTCCCTCCAGTTTGCGTTCTGCAGAGAGAGGAGATTATTGTGCAGTCGTGAAACACTTGGGTTTAAATCCTGGAGTCCCTCTCACTCTCGAATGAGATTCAAATACTTTGTTTCTTAAAATGTCGTAGAGAATTTTATTGCTGTGTTAGTAGAACAAATCTTGTGTGGGGGGGGGGGTTCTTTTTTTTTTTTTTTTTTTTTTTAAATTTACTGTCCTAAATTACTGAAGGGTCAGTGTCTAATGAGAAGAGGGATAGAAAGCAAGAATTCATGTGTGGCCACTCGTGTCAGCTTTAAGTTTAGCAGGCCTGCAGCTGAACTGTGCCACAGTGTTTAAAATGTGATGCTTGAATCTAAATAGTTGTAACTGACTGTCTTTAAACAGAGAGAACGTGAGCTCGAGGAAGGAGATGTTGGAACGAGCTTGACTCGAGAGAACGCTGGGAGGAAGGAGGAGGATGAAAAGAGAGAGATGATTACCCCGGCTCTGAGAGAAGCGCTCACAAAACAAGGTGAGGTTCTGCGAAGACCAGATGGTAGACCAGGATTTGAAGTCTTAGTGGTAGACTTCCGACAGAGCAAGTGAAAGAAGGTGTTCTTCATGTTAAAGATACTGCTCTGGACCCTCAGTCATGGTAGGCTCTAACCAGAGGCAGGACAAAGATTAGGCAGGGGCTGTTTGTACCTCACTGTTGCAGGGGAAGAAGCTAAAGCTGGGTAATGCATCTCTGTGATGCACGCTATAACGTGGAGAGCGTATCAGAGTTCGCAGGGTTTAATGTATCTGCTAAGGTAGCTTGAGATTGAAGGTGATACTCCCACGTGCCTCTAGCTCCCAGAGTGTAGGTTTCTCAAAGAATATTTAAAGATCAGCTTTGCATCTCTGTTTTGCATCTTAGTCCCCTGCTTTTATTTCAGTTTCAAACTCTGATTTTGTTACTGAAACTTTATTTCCAGAAAAGGAAGTCGTTCAAACTAACTGTAACAATCCAGTAGATTATTAGATCAGTAGTTCTCCTATGAGCTGTCGAGAACAGTTTTAATGAACTTAACGCCTTTTTTAAAACAAAGGGCAATCATGAGAAAAGCCAGACTGACAACCCTGCAGTTCAGAAGCCTCAGTTCTGAGTGGCAGAGCCAGGAGAAGGGTGATGTGAGCTCCCCTATGCTGCTCAGTTGGAGACTAAAGGGAGTTTAGTTTCATTTTGTTTATCTTTTAGGATGAGTGTGCGCTCAGTTTTTTCTTGCCTGCTAAATCGATAGTATCTCTCTTGATGCTTCTGAGAAGGCACTTCTGGTTATTGCAGTGGAGGCACCTCGCTACAGAGCTGGGCTCTGAAGTTCTAACCACGTTCTGTGTGAGTCCAGCAGCTGTGGGATCCCAGCACCTTTGCTCCCCAGGATCTCAGCTGTTCTTCAGCCCGAGCTTTTGTAGGTGACTGGTGTTGCATTGTGCCCATCATCTGACATGTTTCGTTGTTGGTTTTTTTCATTAACCTTAGTACAGCTATAAAATAAAAAGCCATCCTTTAAATTTGTAGTCTGAAGGAATAAAGTAAAGACTTAGCAAGGAGTGGCAGTGACTTTGCCTCCTCTTCACGTCCGTAGTGATGCTGCTGCTGGCTGGGACCAGCGGAAGGACTGTAGGAGGCTGGTTCAATATATCTTTTCAGCTTCAGTTCTGAAGGCTGTAATGTGGTGGCAGTTACACTGCAGTGTGCTGCAGAGCAGCTGGAGCACTGTTACAGCCTTTTATTTTTATTTATTAATTTATTTAGTTACTACTGTCTGTGTTTGATCCAGAATGCTAATTGTTCTGTCTGCCTGAAAGGATGTTTGGAGGACAGGTGGATTTGGCTAGCAGGGCTGGGGGAGCGGGCTGCTGGAGACATGGCTGTCTAGAAATGGGCAGCAGGGAGGTGAGCACGCTTGTCTGCTGCAGGTCCCCTGTTTTGAGAGGTTACAGGGGCCACTGACTCCATGGAAGGGTGTACCAAGTCCCCGTGACATCTCAGGTTTTGCTTCGGGATGCAGGAACCCTAGAAGGGCTGTGGAGACTGCCTGTGGTACTGACTTGTGAGAAGGGGAGTAGTGGGTGGTTTTCAGCACACTGCCCTGGCTTTTTTGTGGTGCAGGGCTCTGTGTTGCACCGTGGTAGTCTCAGGAGTGTTTCACGCTGGCTCACTTTCAGACCCAGTCTGCGTTGCTCTGGGGAATGAATGAAACGGTCCCTTTTTAATGGTATATAAAAAGTGGTCATTTAAAAAATGAAAACAGTGCTGGAGGGAAGGTCACCTTCCTACCATAATTTTTTTTCACACAAAGGTAAGCTCTTTGTGAGGTTCCAGGGACAGGAATTCATTATCCAGATAAGTAGGTATGTATTTCTCCCTTCCTTTGACATTCGGGGTAGTGCCAGCATTGGATCAACGAGTAGGATCTACTTACTTAAATCTGCAGTTTCAAAGACTTAAGACAATTGTGTCTGTATCCTTACAGTTACAACTGCCTCTCGCTGGCACAACCTTCCCCTCCTTTCCTCTGCTACTCACCTAATTTTTTTCTTCACTGTTGAGTGACCATTAGAGAAGCTGCCTTTCTTTTTTCATGTCACAAAACATTTTTTTTCTGCAAATAACACACCAGGACAGGCTTATGTGGCTATAAAAATAAAACAACTCCCTCCTTCCCTCAGCACCATTCCCCCCAAAATAACAAGTGCAACGTAGTCAAAAGATAATCTAATTTATTTAGCAACAACTGGTTGCTTTGGGTATAGGTTCAGTGTCTTTTCAAGATTATCCCTGAGGGCATAATTAGCCCAAGAGAAGGAAAAAACAGTACTAGTGACTCAGGAGAAAGCTGTTCTTTTAAATTGTAGTTGCATAACAGAAATTTGCCTTTGAACAGCATCTCTTCAGACTATTGTAATGCTTGCTCTTTTTATTTTGATTCACCTTCAGACAAATTTGCCTTCCTGTAAGTAAACTGAATATTGCTTAAACAATGGTTTTATTTTAGCACTGGCATTGAATTTCAGCTAAATATAGCCTCACCTATTGGGGTGTATAGGTGTTAGCTTTTGTAGTTGCTTGGTTGCAAATACCTTTATAAAAGACGCTCTGTAATAGTTGCTTTTTAAAGTCATAGCCAATCTCGTGTTGTGAGAAAATGCCAATTCCCTTTCCATCAGTGTTCAGGCTTGCATAAAAAACAAACACAGCACAAACTCTTTAGTGCCTCCAAGTAACAAATGTAGCTGGAAAGAGGGAGAGAGGCTGACAGTTGAAATATTGGGCTCTGTTGTATTTGCAGTGGTACCATTTTGCTGTGTTAATGCTTCAGTAATTTCATCTGTTTAGGTAGATGTCATGAAATAAACTGAAAATAGAAGCAAACTTTTTATATTAATGTTTCCTATAATGATTAGTAGATACAGCCTAACATGTTCTCATTTGTTTTCTGTAGTTTACAGGTTCTCAAAACAGTCCCTGCTGGGCTTAAAGTTTTTTTGCTTGGGCTGGGTACCAGGAGGATTTTGTACGTGGTGAAGTTTGCCTTTCCAGAGCTGCTGATCATGGGGCCCTTCGCTGATTTTTCAGGAAGTGAATTTAAATCCTCCTTTAGCTTTAGAGGGAGTCTCAAGCTGCTGTTTTAATAGGAAAGGTGACTGTAAAGAACCCAGTGTGAATCCACAGCGGTTCCTTCTGTGTCCCCTGTATCAGCTGTGCTTATTTTACAGGTACAGAAATATTGACTCTCTTACATTTTCCTGCTGCTATAAAGTCAGTACAGCAATGGTGCAAAGACCTGTGCTCTGTTCAGGTTGTTAACCGTCATTAGTTTTCACTGCTCTTTGATTTGCCAAATGTTTTATTGATAGTGATGATCAGACTGAAAGCCAAACAAACTCATGCTGAATACGAAAGCAAAGGCTGGCAGTTGGGGGAATCATGGTTTTACTGCAGCTAACTTCTTGAAATATTTGGAGGTCAAACATGATGTCGCACAGTGACAGCCAATTTCATCATCCCTGTCAAGTTACAGTTGTCTTCAGGTCTTCTTTGATGTGCTTCTCTTAAATGTGCAGGAATAAAACAGAGAAAAAACAAACTCAAAACCCTGAAGAGCTGATTGTTTGCTTAGGAGATTCCAAGGACCTGGATTTCTTAAGCTGCTCGTACCATGTATTTCCAACATGCTCTTTGCTTTGTTCTTTTCTACTGTAGCAGTACTAAATACAACACAATACTACCATGTGCTTTTCATGGTAGGCAACACAATGATACCCAAAGAGTGACCCCGCTGACGTTGTATAAATTATTCTGTTGTGTCTCTGCTACCACAGGTACAGTTTTGCTGCAGTCCAGGTGGATTGTTCTGTCTTTATTGGTTACATGAGCCTACAATTTAGCACCAGGGAGTCCAGGATACCTCTATTTTACTTGTATCCAAAGGCAACTGGTATTAGGAGACAGCTTGTATCTGGTAGCGTGGGCTGCTTCAGTAACCACTTCTTTTTGTGCTTTGACTTCATGGTTGATATAAAGATACACTTTGATCTATGTTTTTCAGTGTGTATGGGCAATCAAGAGGCTGACCAGAAAAAATATTGAAGACTGGGCTTTTCAAATGCATACCAAACTTGTATGAGATTAGGTTTTTAAAGGTACTTGGTGGCTTTTGCTGTCCATTCTTGGACTGAGGTTTCCAGTGCCTGCAGCTCTGAGCTCTTCTGACCATCTCAGCTTGATGAGTGTCCGGACTTGGGAAATAAGATGCACTGTGCAAAGACATTGCACAGAGATTGGTGCTGCTGGATGTGTACTTTTGCGGGCCATGTGCTGAAATGTTTGCATGCATCTTTGGGATTCGGCATGCTTTATGTATAGCTATTAAACTCCAGGTGGCACTAGCAGCTCACAGCTGGGTCAGAGATTAGTAACACTGGTGCAGTCCCTGAAATGTACCACAGAATTCAAATATTGGCCATGGGAAGATTAAAAATTAGTTTGCAAAATAGAAAATTGCTCTTAGTAAGTAGAACAAATACAATGACTGAAACCAGGCAAAGTTAAGCCTACTAAACTTTCTTGCAGTTCCTTAGAAAATGTCTTTGTAAATAAACAGCGAATACACAGTTAAAGGGGAAGAATCTGGGAAGCCGAAGGTGCTGAAGTCCCACAGTGTGGAAGCTGCCAAGAGCTGGTGGTGAGCTGACTGCAATACTAATTTGCTGGCGCAGATGTAGCAGCTTATCAGGAGCAGAGTAGATGGTGAAAGTTCGGTTTTGCAGGCCTGATTCTTCCCTCGTGTAGTTACTGGAGCTGGTGGAATTACCCCATGTATAATAGAGAAAAACAAGCATAAATGCATTTATATTAGAAATGCTTTTTTTTTTTTTTTTAGGTTTTGGAAGGGCTTTGGAGAGTATTGGTCTTTGAAATTAAGTCTGTTAAGCTGGAACAAAATACAAGATATATTCAGACAAGGATAAAATTTGCTGTCCTTT